CTCCTCCTCCTCCGCCTCCTCCTCCTCCTCCTCCGCCTCCTCCCTCTCCCCCTCCTCCTACCTCTCTGCCTTTTGCTTTCTTCTCCTGGCGCCCCCCCCCCCCTCCCCCCCAGGAAAAAAACATGTGTTTTGTTTTTCTTGGGGGGTGGGAACGCCAGGAGAAAAAAAACAAGGAATGCGACGTGGCCACATCTGCCCTCCCCCCTAGAAGGATTCCTATTGAACGCCCCCATAAGAAGGATTCACAGTGAAATCCTCGACAGAAGGGTTCCTATCGAAACCCTCCACTGAATGATTCCTACTGAAATCCTCCACATGTGGATTCCTACTGAAACCCTCCACTGAATGATTCCTACTGAAATCCTCGAATGGCAATGGCAATGGCAATGGCAATAGCAATGGCAATGGTAATGGTAACGGTAATGGTAATGGTAATGATAGTGGTAATGGTAATGGTAATGGTACTGGTAATGGTTACGGTAATGATAGTGGTAACGGGGTAGCGAGGCAATGACAATGGCAATGGCAACGGAAATGGTAATGGTAATGGCAATGACAATGGCAATGGGAATGGCAATGACAATGGCAATGGCAATGGTAATGGCCGTGGCAATGGTAATGGTAAGGGTAAAGGTAAAGGTAGAGGTACAGGTAATGGTACTGGTAATGGCAATGGCAATGGCAGAGGCAATGGTAATGGTAATGGTAATGGTAATGGGAATGGGAGTGGGAATGGGAACGGGAACGGGAATGGAAATGATAGTGGTAGTGGTAATGGTAATGGCACTGGTAATGGTAATGGTAATGGTAATGGGAATGGAAATGGTAATGGTATTGGGAATGGGAATGGGAATGAGAATGGGCATTCTAATGGTAATGGCAGCGGTAATGGTAGTGGTAATGGCAATGGTAATGATAGTGGTAATGGTAATGGTAATGGGACTGGTAATGGTAATGGTAATGGTAATGGGAATGGGAATGGGAATGGGAATGGGAATGGGAATGGAAATGGTACTGGCAATGGTAATGGTAGTGGCGAATGGCAATGGCAATGGCAATGGCAATGGCAATGGCAATGGTAATGGTAATGGTAATGATAATCACAGAGGTATTGGTAATGGTACTGGTAATGGTAACGGTAATGTTAATGGTAACGGGGTAGCGATTGGCAATGGCAATGACAATGACAATGGCAACAGTAATGGTAATGACAATGACAATGGGATTGGCAATGGCAATGGCAATGACAATGATAATGGCCATGGCAATGGCAACGGCAATGGTAAGTGTAATGGTAATGGCAATGGTAGTGGGACTGGGAACGGGAATGGGAATGTGAATGGGAATGGGAATGGGAACGGGAATGGAAATGGTAGTGGTAGTGGTAACGGAAATGGGGATGATAAGGGTAAGGGTAAAGGTAAAGGTAGAGGTCAAAGTAATGGTAATGGTAATGGAAATGATAATGGTAATGGTAATGGTCATGGGAATGGCAATGGCAATGGAAATGGTACTGGCAATGGTAATGGTAGTGGCTAATGGCAATGGCAATGGCAATGCGAATGGTAATGGTAATGACAGAGGTAATGGTAATGGTACTGGTACTGGTAACGGTAATGATAGTGGTAACGGGGTAGCGATTGACAATGGCAATGGCAATAACAATGGCAACGGCAATGGTAATGGCAATGGCAATGGCAATGGCAATGGCAATGGCAATGGTAATGGCCATGGCAATGGCAATGGTAATGGTAATGGTAATGCGAATGGGAATGGGAACGGGAATGGGAATGTGAATGGGAATGGGAATGTGAATGAGAACGGGAATGGGAATGGCAGTGATAGTGGTAACGGAAATGGGAATGGTAAGGGTAAGGGTACAAGTAAAGGTAGAGGTAATGGTAATGGTAATGGTAATGGTAATGGTAATGGTAATGGTAATGGCAATGGCAATGGCAGTTGTAATGGTAATGGTAATGGTAATGGTATTGGGAATGGGAATGTGAATCGGAATGGTAATGGTACTGGAAATGGTAATGGTAGTGGCGAATGGCAATGGCAATGGCAATGGTAATGGTAATGGTAGTGGCGAATGGCAATGGTAATGGTAGTGGCGAATGGCAATGGCAATGGCAATGGTAATGGTAATGGCAATGACAGAGGTAATGGTAATGGTACTGGGAATGGTAATGGTGACGGTAACGGTAATGGTAATGGTTATGGCAATGGTAACGGGGTAGCGACTGGCAATGGCAATGGCAACGGCGATGGCAATGGTAATGGTAATGGTAATGGCAATGGCAATGGCAATGGGAATGGCAACGGCAATGGCAATGGCAATAGCAATGGCCATGTCAATGGTAATGGTAATGGTCATGGTCATGGTAATGGTAATGGTAATGGTAATGGGGATGAGAATGGGAATGGGAATCGTAGTGGTAATTGGAACGGGAACGGGAATGGAAATGGTAGTGGTAATGGTAATGATAATGGCAATGGTAATGGCAATGGTAATGGAAACGGTACTGGTAACGGTAACGGTAATGGCAATGGTGATGGGAATGGAGATTGTAATGGTGATGGCAGCGGTAATGGTAATGGTAATGGTAATGGTAATGGCAATGGTGTTGGTAATGCTAATGGTAATGGCAATGATAATGGTAGTGTCTAATGGTAATGGGAATGGTGATGGTAACGGTAATGGTAACGGTAATGGTAACGGGGTGGCGACTGGCAATGGCAATACAATGGCAATGGCAACGGCACTGGTAATGGCAATGGCAACGGCAATGGGAATGGCAATGGCAATGACAATGGCAATTGTAATGGCCATGGTAATGGTAATGGTAATGGTAAATGTAAAGGTAAAGATAAAGGTAGAGGTAATGGTAATGGTAATGTGAATGGGAATGGGACTGGAGATGGGAATGGTAATGGTAATGGTATTGGGAATGGGAATGGGAATGGGCATGGGAATGGGAGTGGGAGAGATTGAGAGAGAGAGAGAGAAAGCGAGAGAGGAAATATCAGAATAATGATGAGGAGCAACGTGAAAGATCGTAAAACATCGTCTGAAACCCACAGGGACTCCACAATCCCCCGGCCTCTTTTCCTCCGCCCTCCTCCTCCTCCTGCATTCCTGTCGCACCCGAAGCCTGTCGGAAGGGCGAGCTGGGCGCTTTTTATATTTCTCTGTCACTTGTGAGCCTGAAGCTGAAAACTGACCACAGTTTCGCACGATGAAGGGTGGTTTTCAAAATGTGGCTCTCGCCGTAGCGCCGCGCACATTAGTTTTTAAATGTGCAGGAGCTTCACGGTTTGAGGGCGGATCGCTTCCAAAATGTGGCTCTCGCCTTGGCGCCGCGCACGTTCGTTTCAACAAATTGCACAAGCTTCATGGATGGAGGGCAGGTCGCTTTCAATGTGCGGCTCTCGCCTTAGCGCCGCGCACACTCTCCCGAAAAAAAAAGCCAGAGCTTCACGGATTGAGGGCGGGTTGTTTACCAAATGTGGCGCTCGCCCTAAAGCCACACACATTCGTTTTGTTTTAATGGCTAAAGCTGTACAAATTGGAGGGCGGCTCATTTTCAAAACGTGGCTCTCGCCTTAGCGCCGCACGTTTTGAAAAAAACACAGCAAAAGTTTAACGGGTTGAAGGGAGCTCCTTGTCTACATGTGGCTCTCGCCTTTGCGCCACGCACATTCGCTCCAAGAAATTGCAGGAGTTCTACTAGTTCGCATGGTTAACCTTCCACAAATGATGTCTTCGAGCGATTCAGGACTGACAGAGCGCAAAGGTTACGTGGATTCGTGGTATTCGTCCCAAGAATGGTAAATGATATTCTGGCACATCTCAGGATCATCAAGACGCAACAATCAGAGCGACTCGTGTCGTTATCGTGAGAACGGTGTTTTGACACCCGTCAAGATTGTCACACGGTTTTTCCCCAACGGGGCACTTCCGCCAAGTGGACATGAACCCACGTAGGGGCCTATGAAGAGGAAACTTGGGGGAACTCTGATTTCCAACATTGATGATGAGTATTGGGTTTACACTAGACCTCCTCCTCCTCCTCCTCCATTCCTTAACTCGTCCCGGTCGCACCCCGCTGCCGGTCGGAACGGCGGGCCGGGCGTTTCACCTGAGCCCGGCTTAAGTACCACTTATGAGCCTGAAGCTTGGAACTGGCAACAGTTTCACAGGTCGACGAAGGGTGGTTTTCAAAAAGTAGCTATCGCCGTAGCGCCGCGCACATTCGTTTTTTTAATTTGCAGGAGCTTCACGGTTTGAGGGCGGGTCGATTTCAAAATGTGGCTCTCGCCGAAGCGCCGCGCATATTCGCTTTAAGCACTTGTAAGGGTTGCACGGATTGAGGGCAAGTCGTTTTCAAAATGTGGCTCTCGCTTTAGCGCCGCGCGCACTCGTTCTAAAAATGTGCCAGAGTTTCACGGATTGTGGGCGGGTCGTTTTCAAGATGTAGCTCTCGCCTTAGCGCCGCGCACATTCTTCGAAAAAAATGGCGGCCAGAGCTTCACGGATTGAGGTAGCGCCGCGCACATTCGTTCCCCCAAAAAAAGTGTTACTGGTTCTCATGGCTAACCATCCACTAACGAAGTTTCAAATGATTTAGGATTGTATGGGCGCAACAGTTACGTTGATTCGGGGTGTTAAAAATCCCAGGAGTGATGTTCTGGCACGACTCAGGACCACCAAGACGCAATACTCAGGTTGACTCGTGTCGTTGAAGTCCTGGGAATTGTGTTGTGGCCCACTTCAGGGTTTTCACCCGGCTGTCTCCCAACGGGGCCCTTCCCTCAGTGGAGTTGGATCCCTGGGTGGGACCTATGAGGAGGGAACTTGGAAAGGGGGCATATCCCAACATCATTGAGGAGTCTTGGGTTTACACTGGTCCTCCTCCTCGTCCGTTCCCTCTCCCTTTCCCTCTCCATCGCCCTTCTCTCGTCTTCGTCACCGTCCTCCTCCTTCCGGGGACGGGGGCCTTGGCCCATGAAGGTGCCGTCGCCGCCTCCGCCCTCGCACTGCGCAACCTTTGGCCTCGGCGGGAGGGCGGGAGGCGGAGGTGCACGCAGAGGCAGGGGCGAGGCGGCGAGCGAGACTGGGTGGGCGTCGCGCCGACGGTCCGACAGGCAAGCCCTTCGAGGGCAGCAAGTGTGAAAAGATGAACGGAGCAGGAAGGAACGACTCGGGCAATGGCGCTTGCGAGTCGTAGATACCGGTTCCACAGAGAGGGGGAGGGGAGGGGGCGACGGGGTAGATGAGGGACGGCATCAAGCTGAGCCTATGGTCCGCGCCATATCTACAAGACGCGATGCTCTAGACTCGTGTTCTGGGCTAGGTAGCACTGCTGCCCTGCTGACGTGACAGAAACCTGCGCAAGCAGTACTACTAACAATTGCAAGCGAAACACGCGCACATCTTCAAGCAGAAAGCACGGGGCGCGTGACCCGATGTGGAATGTACAGTCCAGCCGCCGAGAATACGCGTAGCAACAGAGGGCACGCGAAGCGCAGGATAGGCGGAGGCAACAGCCAATCGTTGACGGCGAGGGAGATCAAAAACAAGCACACGCACACACATTCACACACACACACACAAACGTCCACGACTGCAAGCAAGCACGTACACGCATGCACAGAGGCGCGGTGCGCAGCAAACAATAGCCCCCCACGAATGTATCGAATCCTGGTGGCACTGTGGTACCGATTGATCTCGCCAACCCGTCACAGTGCACAGCCGCGTCATGCCAACGCAAGGTGCCGCATTGCTTCTAGGCCCCACACTGGGAGAAGCGCGGGCCGCGCAGCATTGCAAGGGACGGGTACGAAAACATGGTCACGACCGGTATACCTCGGCACTGCCCCTGATACTCTGCCTGTTCCGCTGCACACCACTACCATTATCCGGTGCCTGCTCCTCCTCCACATGCTGAGGTATCGCGAAAGCGATGGTCACAACGTCCGAGTTCTCTGCAAGGCCTCCTTGATACAATCATACCCCATTACGGCACGCATCTGAACCAAGCAGTTCCCTCTGTTCCACAAGCTCGTGTCACATGTCCTGCCGATTCCCCGGTCCCACTCTACATCAACACATACACACGACTCTCCCCAACAGGCTTATATGTTTCCGCGACTTCCCGACTTATCACCATGCCTGAAACTGACAGCCCCACCTGTCTGCAGCGGATCGGAAGAGAGCAACCCTTGACTCTGGACAGCTGGGCAGCTTGAGCCAGAAATCCAAAACAAACATAATGATAAACTCCCACGACATCCGAAGACGCTGAATCACAAATCACACCGAGAAGCTCACAAGAAGGCAAGTTGTGAAAACTGGCAGTAGTCGAAGCGTTACGTCACAAAACAGCGAGAGGAGGCGGGGGTACCCTTGCTTTCCAACACTATGAAGCTTGCAGGCCCAACTGGCCGAAGCTGAGGCAACCATACCGAACTGCTTCCGCGGGTAGAAGCCCTAGCGCATGACAGTACATCGCCCAGGTTGGTACGAAATCTTCAACACAAAAACACGTAAATCCACCAGCCCTCTGGGCTGGGGTGGTTCAGACAGATTCCTCATTCAACTCACTTCTTCCGCTTCGCAAGCGGTTCAACCCTTCTCCTTCCCCACATCGCAACACTTCCCCTCCTAGCTGTGGACTGGATGTGGGCTGGCAATCTGGCGCGGTTGCCGCCCCTGGCCAGCCGCGGAGAGAAAGACGCGGCGCAGGCGAAAATCCTTGTTGAGGGGAGCCTCAAATTGATGTTCAAGCCCTTTTGAACAGTCGTGGGCCTTGTTTGGGGCTACGTTTAGGCACGTTGGGGGTTATGTGAGGGCCTCCTGGAGCCGCTTGAATCTTCCTGGGCCCGTTTTGGGCCTGTGCAGCCACGAGGACGCTAGACGTTGCTGCCGGTTTGGAGTGGGGCCTCTTGGGGTCCTCTTAGGGGCTCCTGGGGACGTCTTGGGCCCCCGCGGGGCCCGCCCTGGAGGTCTCTTGGGCGATCTTGAAATCGGATTGAGCTCCCGAGGGCCTATCGGAAGAGAAAGAGGGTCAAGGTAGAAAATATCGGAACCTGAAGCGTTCGACCATTTCGACAATCGCTGGCCTCTCGGGGCAATCCTCAGCACGCTGCACGGCCACCTCGGGCCGCCTTGTGGCGGGTCAGGGCCTCGTTGATGCGTGGAGGGCGCCATTTGGGACCAGGTCCATCGTGTGCAGTCTTGGAGGCCATCCTGGAGGCCATCTCGCACGGGCTTGCGCTGCCGAGGCCAGGGCGGGGTCGCGACACGCCGGCTCCGTTGCCCTGGGTCTTCACGCCCCCCCCTGCGAGGTGTCGGGCGGCCCTCTTTGGCCAGGAGGGCCCACAGAGGGCCGCCAGCGGGGTCAAGATGGAGCAGGACTACCTCCGAGACGGCGCAAGGTGGCCTGCGGTGGTCAAAGATGGCTTCCAGCATGCCTCCAAGAAGGCCCAAGGCTGCCCCAAGACGGTTGCGAGCAGCCGCAGCGCATTCTGGCCATACCTCCGAGAGGCTGTGAACCACTTCAGATTTTTCGATAATGTCCGCCTTCTCACATTTACGCTTCCGCCGGGGATCTGAGGCCTCAATGTCACTCCAAGATCGCCCAAGAGAGCCCAAAGAGGAGCCCAAACGGGAGTCCGAGACGGCCCCGAAGGCCCCCCGTCGTTGCTGCAGGAGGCGGTCTCTCGTTTGCCACAGAGGGGCAGTGCCACTCCGCGCCGCTTTCTCGTACCGAGCGGGCCAGGGCCAGGTTCAGGGATGCAGCATGCGCCAGAGCGCATCCTTGGGAAGCTGTTAGGCCAGGATGGTTCCAAGATGGCCCAAGATACATTCAGGGGGCCTGCAAAAGGGCATAACATGGTCCACTTGCACCATGCGTGCCTCAAAAGACCCCAAACACTGCCCCAAGAGAGGCACAAGGAGCCGGAGCGCCCGCCAACAATACCGAAACGCGAAACCAACCACGCCAAACAGCTGAGGATGTTACATGTTGACTACCGTATGTGTATGTTTTGCCTGGCGAGCATGGGCTGCGGCCTTGAAAAATGAGTCCAAGACCGCCCAAGAGGGCCCCGAGAGCTGCCCAGAGGGTCTCCAAAAAGGCCCCAGGGGCGCCCAAGATCGCTCGCCCCAGGAGCCTTCCAAGAGGACCCGAAAAGGCGATCTGTCGGGACCCGACTGGGGCGGGCCGCAATTTAGGACCCCCCTCTCTGATCGATGTCCTCCAGGGTGGTCCTAACAGATTCGGCAGGTCCAAAGAGAGCACAAGAAAGCTTCAACAGCGCCCTAAGAAAGCCCCAGAGCCTTCCAGAAAAACATCGCACATTCTGCAAATGAGACACTTCCGAAGGCCTCAACAATTCACTCCTCAAGTCCTCTTCATCTTTCTGCTCCTCCCGTCCTCCCGTTCCTCCTCCTCCTCCTTCTCCTCCTCCTCCTCCTCCATCTCCTCCTCCTCCTCCTCGCTGGTATTACCCGACCATCCTGTGGAATGGGGTCCTCGATTTGACAAGACGGCCCCCGCGTTCCTCCTGCCTTCCTCCTCCTCCTCTTCCTCCTGCTCTTCTTCCTCCTCCTTCTCCTCCTCCTTTTATTAATATACTTAATATCCATATTATTAGTGGTATTATTAGTAATATTAGTATCATCATCATCGTCATCATCAGCATCATCATCAGCATCATCATCATCAGTATCATCAGCATCATCATCAGTACTATTAAATTTAATAATATTACTAGTCTTGCTAATATTAGTATTCTTTTACAAATCAAAACACTGATAGTCATATTCTTAGTAGTAGTACTGTTATGGATAGACGTATGTACATTACTGCTACTGATACTACTATTACTGCCACCACCACCACCACCACCACCACTACTACTACTACTGCTACTACTACTACTACTACTACTACTACTACTGCAACTACTACTACTACTACTACTACTACTACTACTGCTGCTACTACTACTACTACTACTACTACTACTACTACTACTACTACTACTACTACTACTACTACTACTACTACTACTACTACTACTACTACTACTACGACTACGACTACGACCACTACTACTACTACTACTACTACTACTACTACTACTACTACTACTACTACTACTACTACGACTACAACTACTATTACTACGACGACTACTACTACTACTACTACTACTACTACTACTACTACTACTCCTAGTACTACTACTACTACTACTACTACTACTACTACGACGACTGCTTCAACTACTAAAACACATAATAATACTATTACTAATACTACCACTACTACTACACTACTATCCCAAATAGTATTCGCATTTATATATTAATACCCATCTTAGCATTACGCGTATTAAAAATAAACTTCTTAATAGTATGACGATTATTATTATGATTACTAGTGTTAGTGTTCGTAGTGTTACTAGTATCCCTCATGATTGTATTCGTGTTATCAGTCTGCGTATTAGTTTCAGTAGACATATTTCTTATTACAAATGTTGATTACACTATGAATATTACTAGCCATATAAGTCTTCGTATTATGAGTATTGTTGATAATAGCATTCCTCTTCCTTTTCCTGTTCCTCTTCCTCTTCCTTTTCCTCTTCCTTTTCTTCTTCCTCCTCCTCCTCCTCCTCCGCCTCCTCTTGCTCCTCCTCCTCCTCCTCGTCCTTTTCTTTTTCCTCCTCCTCCTCCTCCTTTCTCTTCCTCCTCCTCCTCGTCCTCCTCTTCCTCCTCCTCCTCCTCCTCCTCCTCCTCCCCCCACCTCTTCCTCCACCCCCCACCTCATCCTCCTCCTCCTCCTCCTCCTCCTCATCCTCCTCCTCCTCCTCCTCCTCCTCCTCCTCCTCCTCCTCCTCCTCCTCCTCCTCCTCCTTCACATCATCATCAATCATCATCATCATCATCATCATCATCATCATCATCATCATCATCATCATCCTTTTCCTCCTCTTCCTCCTTCTCTCCCTCTTCCTTTCCCCCCCTCCTCCTCCTCCTCTTCGTCCTCGTCCTCCTCCTCCTCCTCCTCCACCCCCTCCTCCTCCTCCTCCTGTTCCTCCTCCTCATCTTCCTCCTCCTCGTCCTCCTCGTCCTCCTCCTCCTCTTCTGCCTCCTCCTCCTCCTCCTCCTCCTCCATTCGTTTTCCTCATAGATAACTTTTCCCTGTCGCACCCCGAGGCCTGTTTAGGGCGGGCCGGGCGTTCCGCTTGAGACGTCCTCACCACTTATGGCTCTGAAGCTTACAAAATGACTCTCAGCGCGGCGCAAATTCCTTTTAAGAATATTTTTGCTAGAGTTGCACGGATTGAGGGAGGGTGGTTTTCAAACTGCGCCTTTCGCCTTAGCGCCGCGCATATTCGTTTTCAAAATTTGCAACAGCTTCACGGACTGAGGGCGGGTCGTTTTCAAAATGTGGTTTCCGCCTTAGCGCGGCGAACATTCGCTTTCAAAACTTGAAGAGAGCTTCACGGACTGAGGGCGGGTGGTTTTCAGAATGTGGCTCTCGCCGTAGCGCGGCGCACATTCGCTTTCAAACCTTGCAAAGAGCTTCACGGACTGAGGGCGGGTCGTTTTCGAAATGTGGCTCTCTCAGCGCGGCGCACATTCCTTTTAAAAAGTAATGTGAGAGAATGGCACGGATTGAGGGCGGGTCGTTTGCGAAATGTGGCCATCGCTTTAGCGCCGCGCACTTTCGTTTCAAAAAGTTGCCAGGGTTTCACGGGCTGAAGGCGCCTCCTTTCCAAAAGATGGCTCTCGCCTCAGCGCCGCGCGCAC